GGAGCGCGCGCACTTAACCGCTACACCATGGGGCTGGCCCCTAAAACTGTATTTTTTTTGTGTGTGTGTATCTGAAATAGTAAAAATTTCTACTAGTTTAACATTTATGTAAATCCTAAGAATAAGTACAAAGAATTTTATTCCTTCTCGATGCTAGGACTAGTCGCAGATCGTGCCAACTCTGCAGCAAATGGAGGTGGTGGTTCTTGGATGGCAGTTTTCCTGGAGGGAAGCTAGGCTGCAGTTGGCAAGTTGTGATGTTTTCATCTGAGGTGTTGGTGTGAAGGCTTCCACCACTTCCTCCCCTGTTATTTCCAAAGGAAGGCCAAGATTGGGTAAGGGTCAGGGCTGGCATGGAACTAAAAGGCATCGGGCTGCTTTTACAAAGATGTATGCATTTTATCTAGTAGCGTTCCCCTATAACAGCTCCAACATGTCTTCTATTTCAGTGGTTCTCAGCTGGGGTGAGTTTTGCCTCCCAGAGGTATCTGGAGTATACTGGAGAGTATACTTCTCCAGTCAGAAGTATCTGGAGACATTTTTGATTGTCATAACTGGAGGATTTGCTACTGGCATTTAGTGTCTAGAGGACAGTGTAGGGGAACAGAATCTGTCACCCCAAAATATGGCTTTTTGCCATAAGGATTATGTTAATCTGGTTATTTTTAAGAAACAGCAGACATGGGAGAAGCTCTAAAAACCAAGGGGAAGTTACTCTTTGTAAAAAGCACTTACATTTGTAGGGAAATCTCCATTTGTAAGAGTGTCTCCCTCACTGTACCAGGAAGAGGGGGATGACCTTATCTCTAGAAACTCTTATCAGTGCAGAAGGCAAGGACTTAAATATGCATAGCAACCTTACCATTATTTACTGTGCTTTTCCTGGTAACCTCTCATAACTGATTGCCCCCACCCCAACGTCTTTTGTCTTTAGCTGAAGATGGTATTTAAGGTGGTGGCTTCAACCATTTTGGCGAATTACTCAGTTTTCCTGGGTCCCTCCTATATATAGGATGTATACATGTTATTAAAATTTTGTTTGATTTTCTCCTGTTAATTTGTCTCATGTCAATTAGATTATTAGATCAGCCAGAAGAACTTGTAAGGGTAGAGGAGAAAGTTTTCCTCCCCAACAGTTGGCGACCAGCCAGGAGACTTCACTGGCAGGATGCTGCTCCCTCCGAGACTGCTGCAGCTGAGAGATCTCGGACCTCTGATAAGAGCTGGCAGAAGGTAAGAGTTCTTACCTCATTAGTCTCCTAGATCTCTGCCGGCAGGGTCCAATGGAAGCAAGAGTGGTGAGTGTTTTTCCTTTCTAAATTTAGATTAGCAGGAGACAATATTTGTGGAGCTATTTTCTTGGGCTTAGCAATTCTGGTAAATTTGTTGGAGTACTCTTGGCTTTATTGATCCATTTCCTTCTAGAGATGGTCACTGTTTTTTACTTTGTCTCTGTCTGTTGTGTCATTTGCCTTGTTCTATGTCTTGAGAGCTTCGCTTTACAACCATTGAGAATATTCTCTCTGGTCTCTGCCAACTGGAGGATGCACATACTAGCATGCGTTTGGCAACCAGTTGAATAGACTGAGATTTCAAGCCAGTTGGTCAGAAGCACAGGTAACAACCTGGACTTGCAACTGATATGTCTTTATCTGGCTGTGCCAGCTCTCAGGGGAATTTGTCATAGGAGACCCCAGTCCATGAGGGGCCTTTGTCATCTCAACCTTTGTTGCTTTGTTAGTCCTGGAAAAGCCCATTCCAGTAGCACCTGCCTGGTGTCACAAATTAGCAGCTTTGTGACTGGAGGTGTCTCATATTTTTATGGGAGACCAGACACACTGTTTTCACTACACCATCTTACTACTTGTGCAAAAAAGGCCTTTTCTCTCTTAAACTATTTTGGGAAGTGAATTTTCTGGATCTTGTGATCCTTTGTACTCTCTCGTGGGATGCCTCTTGTGTCTTTGGTTAAGCCATAAAAGGCTTATTGATTTGAATCACTATTGAGATTAATAGATCCTACTTGTCAATGGACAGATGATGGATCTTTTAAATTGAATAAACTTCTATGCGGCCAGCCTGGTGACGTAGTGGTTAAGTTTGCATGCTCCGTTTTGGTGGCCCAGTGTTTGCAGGTTCGGATCCTGGGTGCAGACCTACATACTGCTCATGAAGCCATGCTGCTGCAGCATCCCACATATAAAATAGAGGAAGATGGGCACAGGTGTTAGCTCAGCAACAATCTTCCTCAAGCAAAAAGAGGAGGATTGGCAACAGATGTTAACTCGGGCCAATCTTCCTCATGATCCCCCCCAACAAAAAACACAAACTTCTAAATTGGAAATTGTTTAGAGAGCTCTCATCATAAACAGTTGTTTTATTGGTACCTATGGAAAGACCAAATTAAAAGGTGGATACAAAGAAGTATAACGGCTAGCCTTAAAAACTCCCTTAATAAAAAACAAAACAAAACAAAATGGTTTGGGAAGCCTCATCCAATTTGCATTCTCAGCTTCCCCTCCTGGGTCTTAGAGATGCTAATAAAAACATTAGGTTACTTAACAAGAGAAAGGGAAGAGGCTGAGGGGAGAGTCAAAGGACGCTTCCCAACAAGGTGGAGATTTTTAAAGGGTTATTAAGAAATAGGGTGGATAAAGCAAACAATGAAAGAGGTGGACAAAGAGGAATCAGAAAGGGAAGAGTCCCGGGACTCATCCCAGCAGGGTGGAAATCTTTAGATGATTATTAAGAAATGGGATGAAAAAAACATTCATTCAGGGGTTAGAACAAAGGCTTTAATATAGCACTACCTAAGGTTGGACAGGCCAAAGGGACTCTCCCTGCTGGTCCCTCAACATTGAAGGGCCCGAAAAAGTTTGCTTTATTTACCCCAATTTGGAGAAATTTAAAAAGCCTGAAGGAAAGAATTACAATGACCAGCAATCACCTGGGGCAACAGTTAGGCTGATTAATCAAGTTAAAGATTGACAAAATAGCCAGGGTCCCTTGGCTCAACCTCTCAGTGGAGACCCAAGGCCTTTTGCACAGGAGTGTATAAAATGGCTGGGGAGTAAAGAGGAGAAGTTTCTGGGGCTCCTTGATGTGGGAACCCCATAAGCTGTGATACCAAAACCACTGGTGTGACACTAACTTGTGCTACAATTAGATTGAGAAAATGAAAAAGTATAAGGGTTAACAGGATTATAAAGTTTGGAATGTTTGAGCAGGGGTTATGTGAAGAGGTTATGTCAGCTTTGCCTGAGTGTTTTATGGGAATGGATGTTATGTCTGGCTGGGAATGCTTCCCCCACCCAACATTATAAGACTGAGACTTGTTGATGGGGTCCTGGTGGAGGCTATGGTTAGAGGTATAAAAGTTGATGGAATTAAGGTGAAAGCTTGTAGGAGACTTGCTGTATTTGGACAAACTTCATGTAATGTGGTTGCGTCTCTTTTGCCTGATTGTATTGTGGAGATGAACATTGTGTCTCACTGGGGAATGTTTTCCCTGCCTGGTATTGTAAAATAGGGCGTGTGAATCCATACTTCAGGTGATGTTAATTAAACATGCTAAAGGGGGGCCGATGGGGTTGCCTGAGCCCACACGGTGTGAGATAGAAGCTAGAGGTTGATATTTGGGGGCTGACAGGAATGATAGTGGAAGCTTTTCCCCCCGGAGTGAATTGGCCTGGGGTTGAATTGTGCACTGGAAAGAGGGCCATTGTTGAATGCTTTGTGCAGACTTTTTGAAGATGTGCTACATTGAACTCTGAAGTTCTAGAACATAGAAATCTTTTGATTTCCATCTTAGTTGGAATTGAAGTCTTCTCCCTGATATAAAGAGGCAAATTGAAGATAATTTAGTTGGGTGGGTGGGTCAGCCCTTTGATATTCAGACTGCGACTCAATTCTTTGAGGAATTAGAAATAACTGTCCTTGTCTTATAAGTTGAGTCTTTACAGGACCAGAGGTATGGCTTCAGAAACAATTAAAAAATCTTCAAACTTCCCCTATTTATCTCAAAAAGCTTATATGGGAAAAATTCTGGCCTTAGAAAGCCATAGCCCTTCTTGGAGGAATTTTCTCTGTGCATTTGGGATGTAAATTTTCTACCCCCATCTTCTCTAGGACTAGGAGCTATTCTTCAAAATTCAAATTTTAGAGAGAAGTTTCTTATCAGAAAAAAAAAAGAGGGGAGGTATTTGGAAATTGGGCAAACAAAAAATCTTAAGTGTCTTCTCCATAAATATTAATAAAAAACTTTAGCCATCTGAATGGATAAAACTTAATTTTTTCCAACTGCCAAAACAAAATTTGGATTCAACTGTTCTTTTATAAACTGGTGAATTTTGTACTATTGTGCTCATCTCATTACTAAAATTTTTTAAGACAAAAGCTATATGATCTCTGTTTGCATCTGTCTGTGTGTTTGTGTGTGTCTATATATATATATATATATATATATATAAATAATATGCTGTAAATGTGAGATATTTTTCTACCTCTGAATGGTATTGCCAATGCTAATTTGTAAAAGAGCTCTATTTAATTGGGTTAAATGTCAAGCACTTCTAAGGATTAGGGATTTTAATGTTCTTGGAAATATGACAGAAACTAACCCAAATGTTTTTCAAGTTCATGTGATCTAGTATTAACACTTAGTAAATACAAGCTAGTTTAAGGTTGTTGATTTAATTAATACAAACATGTTTTTAGAGTTATCAACACTGAATATAATGCAGATAAACAGCTTTTATTCCACCTGGGTACTAATCAAATTCATATTTTCTGTTGCAAAATTTGTGAGCAGAAAAAATAACTTACAACAATGGCCGATTTTGCCTAATGTCTTATAAAGTTTTTGCAGGTAATCTAAGCATAAATGTTGGTAGCAAATGAATTAAATAGATGTAAATGAAATAAGAGTTTATAGATAAACTTTTTAGTAACAATTATATTTTGTGTACTTAAAAATAGTTTCCAAAATCTTTTTGGTAACTTGAAACCTTAGAGTTTTGCAAGTTAAGTTAAATGATGGAAATTTATTGAATATCTAGATCATTTTCAAATAAGATAAATTAATGAAACATTAATTACTGAACATAGGGCTACCTACTCTTGGCTTTTTATTACCAAGAAACTAAAGATATTTGGGTCTGTTAGTAAACATGTTTTCTGCTGCACTGAAAAGCATGTGTCTAAAGATAATAAAAGATATTTATAAAAGTTGCCAAGCTATGGAATGTTAAAGATGGTTCACAATTGCTTACTTCTTAGTTTTCACTTGAAATTAAGATTTCTAAGGGGTAAAAATTCTAATATGTATTATTAAAACTACTAGAAATAATAAGGGAAACAATTCTATATGCAAGAAAAGTAGAATATGTTTTTGGTTAAGAAAAGATACGAGGTATGGAGATGCAATTTTTTAAAATGGGAAATGAGAAGTAATTTTGTCTAAACTAGAACTTTTGTTATGAAGAAAAAATTAAATAGAAAGGAGAAAGAAAGAATTTTACCTTGCATAGTCAAGTTGGTTAAAAATTGGATTGTTGATATAAGGGGTTTGGAAATAGGCTTTAATATCAATAGTGTACTTATAGAAAACTAAACCTTAATTTTTTTTATCTGTTAAAAGGATGAAGTTTTCTTAGACTATTGGTTTGCTCCTGATAAGAGACTGTAAGAGGTTTTCTTTTAAAGTAAATCTACCTAGAAAACAAAGATTCTGTGTTTTATGAAAATAATTTCTGTATTTGCCTTTGAAATATTTTATTATCACTTTGGTTAAATAGATAATTAAGTATTAAATTTCATAATGATCTGTGATCCTACTTAGATAAGTGTTTTAAAATCATTTTTTAAAAAATTTTTTGATGAACCTCCAAAAATCAAAGTCCAAAAATGAAATCTTTTGACCATAAAACTAACTTCAAAGTTTTCTGGAGGGGCCCTGGAACATTTCAAAGGATTTTTTCTCCTATAAAAAAGGATATATTAAATTAATTAAGCTTATTTGATGTGTTAAAATTACATGGGAAGTATTGTCAAATAAGTAATGATAAACTTTCTAAGGTTTTATTGCATGGGTGAAAGTTATTAATATAAATGTTCTAGAAATTGTACAAAATTTCTAAAAATTCTCATATGTCCTGACATAACGTTTTGGTCATAACTCTAGTTATCTTAACTGTTGTGTGTCACAGAGATAACTAAATTTTCTTATTGCATTATAATGAACCCTCATCTGACCTTTAAGTATGGCCATTATTAAGTCTCTGTCATTTATAGGGAGTTATTATTTTACTTTGATGTTTTTGAAACATCTTTAATCTTCAGAGAGATTCATAGAAAGGACTCTGACACTTACCGTAGAATACAGGTTTCTAATAAACTTTCAGAACATACCATTGAACTGGGTAAGAATTTGCAGAATTCTAGGGGACTGGCCCTGTGGCGTAGTGGTTAACTGCACGCACTCTGCTGCTGGTGGCCCAGGTTCGGATCCCGAGCACGCACTGATGCACCGCTTGTCAGGCCGTGCTGTGGCGGTGTCCCATATAAAGTAGAGGAAGATGGGCATGGATGTTAGCTCAGGGTCAATCTTCCTCAGCAAAAAGAGGAGGATTGGCATGGATGTTAGCTCAGAGCTGCTCTTCCTCACAAAAAAAAAAAAAAAAAGAATTTGCAGAATTCTAACAGAGGAACTGATGGCTTTGTAAAACTGCTAAAGATCAAAATCAAGAATTACTTACACAGGACTGAATGAACTGATGAGGATGATTATAATTCTTATGACTTTTTAAATTTGCAACATTACTTATTTTTTTAATGTTTCATTTTTCCAGATTTAAGAAAACTTTTTTTCTCTTCAGCTATGACTTAAGAGCAATTTGGAAAATTTTACATTTATGAGAGAATTGAAACATTTATATTTTTCTCTCTACCTGATTCCTCCAAAATTCAGAAACTCTTAGTGAGTATTCTTATTTTCATGGCAATACATTTATTAACATAAGTTCAATAAGATTTTGTTCTCCTTATAACAGGATGCAACTGGAAACACTGGTTATATTACCAAGGCTTTGACTGGAATGTCATATTTAAGGGAGGCATGCATAAACTCAGATGTGACCAGACAGCTTTAAGGAACTAAGATTGATTTTATGGGGCCAATAAAAGCCCCTTGGAAAAACAGCCTGGTACCTTGCTTACAGGTTCCCGGCAACCTTACCAGGTGAGTAAAAAAGATCACTTCCTGGCAAGTGCAAGAACTTATAGGTAATTTGGGGACCTTGAGAAGAGAGGAATTCACCCAAATCTATAGGTATTGCAGGCAAAGTCTGATGGCAAGTCCTTGGCTTAGCTTTCCTGGCCTCAAGAGGCCTTTAAAAGTTCAATTTGAGATTCCTTATAAAAAGTTCCAGCAAAGCAGATTTAAAAGAGCCTATGTGATCAATTGCTATTCTTGCTGTACTTATGTAAATAATTGGTCCAAGTTTATTAAAACTAGACTCATTTTGCAAATAAATTAATCCTAAATTGGTTATCTTTGGTAAAAATGAGGGTGATCTTAAAGAGGAAAATTATGTTTCAGTAATACACTTATGGATGTTAGATTCTAGTGCTGTTCATTGTCTTTGAGGTTTTCAACTGGATCCTGAATTCTTCTAGTTTCCTCTAATATTTAGCTACAAATCTCCAAATTAATGTTTCCAGTTTTCTCCCATCCTTCTTATTTGGAAGCACTAAGAACAAAAGCTGCCCTTTTCCCTGAAGCCTTGCAAACTGGAGATAGATCACCTGATAGAAACTTCAGAAAAATAACCACAATAGCTCACATTTAGATAATCTTTGTGTCCGTTTCTGTGTGGGCCACACTCAGCAAGATCACCAGAGACATTCAAACTGCAAACTAGGAAAATCTGCCCGATTGCTACCACCAGCTCTCACTCCATCTGAATCGGCTGGATCTAGAAATCTTGATTGGCTGCCCCCTGGGCTCAGAAACTGGTTTTTAGTCTGCTCCAATGATTAACCTTTGTTTTGTTTTGTTTTTTGTTTCCATAGAAATACCTCTTATTAAATACCCAATTTCTCACACAATATAGGCCTAACTTTGGGAACCACCTCCTGAAATGAGACACAATTGTTTAACTGAACTGACTTATTCTCAAGACTGAGTGACTGGTTCAATGAGATGAAGCAATCTAGCAACTCAGCTTCTGGACTGTGAAACTTTTTGTTTGAAGTTTCAAAGATGGGACTGTAGGGGAGCAGAATTTTTCACCCCAAAATATATCTCTGTCAGGGAGGAGGAATTCCCCCCTCTACCCTTCTTGTGTTCTTATGGCTGGACTAATAATAAAATTGATACAAGACCAGATTAACAGGAGAAAAACCCAATTTAATATGTACGTATTGGAGATCATAGAGAAAGGATGCTTGGTGAGTGAACAAAGCAGGCAGTATATATCTTTTACACAAAGAAACAATAAATTTGTGAGGAAGGACAGGACAAATAAACTTAGGTTTGAGTTATGTAATGAGAGAGGAATTTAAACAGAGTTTAGGCTTGAGGTAGTAAATTAGTAAAAAGTAACAGGGTTTGTTTGTAAAGGCTTCTTAGCCTTGAATTCCCTAGCTCTGGTGATAAGGATGTCTCTCTCAGCCTCCAGGCACAGGGAGAACACTCTTCACATGGGAGATTTATTTCCTGCTTTCAGAGGGAACAGAGAGAAAAGGGTCAAAATGCCCCCTTTTTTTTTGCACTGCCTGCTTCTCAAGTAACTTTAATTCAAAATAATTAATATGCTATTGTGGAATATCTTCCAGCAGCTCTTTGGCATAAGGATTATTTTAGGCTGATTATTTTTAAGAAACTGCAGACATGGGTGAAGCTCTGAAAACCAAGTAGAAGACATTTTGTAAAAGACATTTACATTTGTAAGGGAAATCTCCATTTATAAGGATGTCTCCCTCACTGTACCAGGAAGGGGGGAATGACTTTATCTCTAGAAACTCTTATCAATGAAGAAGGCAACGACTTAAATCTGCATAACAATCTTACTGTTGTTTACTGTGCTTTTCCTGGTAACCCCTCATAACTGACTCCCCACTCTCAGTATCCTCCTTTATCTTTAGCTGAACATGGTATTTAAGGTGGTGGCTTCAGCCATTTTGGTGAATTACTCAGTTTTCCTGGGTCTCTTCTATGTATACAGGAGGTATACATGTTATTAAACTTTTATTTGTCTTAACAGGCCATGTCAGGCCCTTTTGGAAACACAAGGTCAGGCAGAATTAATTTTAAACCAAATGGCTTCTTCATATACTCTAATATATCCTATTGCTTTTCATTTATTTATCAAGACATAGTCCTGGCCCTGCCTAGGTGGTGTCCTTAAATTCACAAAAAAAATCATTTCTCCATCTATTTTTGTTTTTCATCTTTATTGAAGTGTCTTTCACTTCTTTGCTCCCTTTTCCTCCCTCCCTCCCTCTGTCCCTCCTTCCTTCCTTCCTTCCTTCCTTCCTTCCTTCCTTCCTTCCTTCCTTCCTTCTTTCTCTTCTAGTTGCTCTGCTTTATCATAGCTGTATTCATTTGTCTTTATCCCACGTGCGTGCATTGCTTTTTTAGGTCTTTAATTTTGAGCCACTTTTGATACCCAAAAAAAAAAAAAAAGCAGACACTTATCTCTTTAATTAAAGGAAATTGTCCTATAGGGAAAAGTGGATAGAATCTGGAAGGACAGCCATACTTTCTGAATCCTGATATAACACAATTCAATTCAACCTTCCTGCACTGAGCCTTCAGTATTGAGATATTAAAAAGGAAAGCAATAAAGCTCATCCAGTACTAATTTAATCAGAAGCCAGTGCAATCAGTTTCCTTGATATACCTTTTGTCAACACAGCTTTACGTGTTGAATAGGCAATCTAAAACCCTGGAAATTTACCACATTGACTTATCAGCAAAATTTATGCTGAACCTAGGTATAATAATAGAACTGATTAAAAAAATAAAATGTAGTCTGCATACCATACCAGTGTACCATAAAAGTATGGAGTCTTTTAGATATCTTATTTAGAAATTCTCTCTCTTTTTAAGCTTTTGACTGTGTCAGGTTCACCATCTATTAGCTCTACAGAAAATAGGAGCTAAAATTTTAAACCATTAAAGCAAACTTTGGTTCAACTTGATAAACATTTACTAAGCACCTACTGTTTACAAGACCAGGAATAAACATTGTAGAAGATTAAAAAAGATTAAGATACAATCTTTGCCCTAGTTTATAATCTGATGTGTGTGTGCGCGTGCGTGTGTGTGGGTGTGTGTGTGTTGTGTGGCGAGGTAGATAAGCACATACAGAAGTTTGTTTATGGTAAGTATATTAATACATGTACCAACAAGGAGCTGCAGGAGTTTATAGAGAAATGCTCATGTTTTCTTATTTAAAAGTGAATTTTTGGGCTGGCCCTGTGGCTTAGCAGTTGACTGTGCACGCTCCGCTCTTGGCGGCCCGGGTTCGGATCCCGGGCGTGCACCGACGCACTGCTTCTCTGGCCATGCTGAGGCCGCGTCCCACATACAGCAACTAGGAGGATGTGCAACTGTGACATACAACTATCTACTGGGGCTTTGGGGAGAAAAAGGAGGAGGACTGGCAATAGATGTTAGCTCAGAGCTGGTCTTCCTCAGCAAAAAGAGGAGGATTAGCACGGATGTTAGCTCAGGGCTGATCTTCCTCACACACACACAAAAAAAGTAAAAAAAAAAAAAGTGAATTTTGAAATTAATAAAAAAAGGACTGATGAGGCTCTAGTTCCTAAAAAGCTGTGGTTTTCTCAGTGACATTTTACATCTTGGTTAACAATTACATTAAATTTCAGGGAAGTTTAAATAAGGAGCTTAAGTAGACCTGACGTTCTTAGTTTAGCACTTCTATTTATGCCTGTTTTCCTAAGAACTGCCTCATAGCTATATTTTTCAACACGTCTCCTCACTTCTCTATGGTGTGCTCTTTTTTTTCTTTAAAACTATGGTGGTCCCAAAGCAGAGTCTTACTCTTTTTGATTGTGGATCTAAGTCATACATTGAAAACAGTGAAACAATTACATAAACATTGAAGAGAACCTGCTAAAAACAATATGTAATGGGTATTTTATCAATTTAATTGAATAAAATTTATCTTGCTTAAGAATGACTTTTTAAAATAATGCCTATAATAGTCACTATGCAAATTTCCTCACCTGACGTCTATTTGAGACTTTAATAATAAGGCTCTAGAAATGATTTCCAACTTTCCCCTGAGATCTAATTGTTACCACACCAGGTCCATTTTTGCCCATTGCCCAGAAAGCCAATCACCGAGACGATGCGATTGCAGAGAGAGAGGGTTTAATCACAAGGCAGCCAAGTGAGGAAAACGGGAGAATAAGTCTCAAATCCACCTCCCCGAAAATAGGGACTCGGTTATTTATGGAGAAGGGGGCAAGGTGGTCTGAAATGATTGGAGGTGAGGAGAGATGAGGTAATTGATGATCTGCGCAAGCGTAGCCAGACTTCATGCCTCTGTAGGACACATGTTCACAGAATGGCGGCATTAGCATGCCCTGAGGGTGGAGTTCAGCCTCTTGCTGTCAAAAGGGCCCAGTTGATGGGTTGGTGGTCTCAATCCTGCCTGAAGAAGACAAGGGGTTCGGTTCCTGAAAAAATAGCTCAAACATCCATTACCATGGTGACCCGACTCCAGGAGGATGTTATCTATAGGAACCTAGTGGGAGTCAGATAGCATATTACCAAACAGCACAGTTAACAATGGGTAAGTTTATCATGCAGATTTAAGTCCTCATCTTCTGTTCTGATAAGTTTCTAGGTAAGGCCATCCCCCCCTTCTTCCTGGTACAGGGAAGAAGATACCTTTACAGATAGAGATTTTCTTTACAAATGTAAATGTCTCTCATAAAGGGCAACCAGAACTAAGAATGGGCTTAGCACGGACCCACCCAGACACTGGAGATGTCTATGGTGATCACGGCCTGTTCTGGGGGCAGAGCTTCCATCCCAAACTCCTTTGGTTAGTTAGTGAGGGTGGGGGCCAATTCTGATCCCCCATAGTTACTAGCTGTTTAATCATCACTGGCTAACTCTTTGCCAGTTTTGTAATCAATATTCAAAAGGACATATACTATCTGAAAATGACAAGTAATGAGAAAGTCTTCTTGCTCATATTCCGTGACCTTTCAAATGACTATTTGTGCCAAAAATTACTCACTATTTGGACTGAATTCCTAAAGAAATCCAAATGAAATTGAGTCCTACTAAAGCTTTATTCAATTAGGCAATCACATTGGAAGATCAATTTTTAAAAGAAGCTGGATAAAACTGGTTTTATGTGATAAGTTTCATAAGGCAACGCTCACCTTTTGAAACTGGCAGGTGTGTCCTTACTATGTGGTGGGGAAGATCATTAAAGTAATTACAGATGTGTGTTCACCACCATTTAAACAAGACTACTTCATTAATATGCTGGCTTTGGATTTTCCAATCATTCTTTATTTGCCCCAAATTGTGTGAGTCATTCTCTCTCTGAACTGAGCACTGTGTTTACATCCTCACACATAGCTTTTCTGCAGCCTCCACCCCCTTGACTGCTGACTGCTGTTGACTTGACATCAAAGCTTGGAGAACTGGTTAGGTGGGTTTGTTTTGTTTCATTTTTTAATGAGATAATGAAAAGGCCTCTTTGGAATGCTGAAGGTGCAGTGGCACTTTAGGAAGCTAAAAGCTGGTGAAGAAACTTGAAACAAATTAAAAAATTCTGCTTCTGAGAAAACAGATATAAAGGAATCACACTTTGGAAAGCACTGAAGAGATGTGTTTTTGTTTTGTCCTACAATCATCTTTTTTTCCTTCTATTCGTTCACCTTCAAGCTTGAACCATGAAGTCAAATCCTTCAGGGAAGGGGAGAGTGGGTCTCGTCTGGGCACCCTTTGGACTGAGTGCATCACCCGTATCCTGCCAGGTACGTCTGGGTCAGAACAGAAGAGAAAGAGGGGAGCCCATCCTCCTGGGAGGAAGGACGTACCAGAGGCAGAGGAGCACATGGTGAGACGAGGTGTCTGAGTGACCCTGTCTAGGCCAAAGTGCTGAGCATGGAGCCGTTTAGGTAGAGCGCGGGCAGAGGTGGAAGAGAGGCTTTTGCCCTATTTCTTTCTTGAAAGGAGGAAATCTCAGAGAGTGATTCTTCCCATAACAATATGGGCAACTGCAGGGTGAGGCAGGTGGAGTGAGGGCCTGATTCCCTAGATTCTCCCCTTTCTAGAAGTTTCCATGAATGCTATGGCAAACTATCTGGATAGCTAAAGGTACTACTGGGTGAACTTAATGGGAGGGATATTAACATCATTGGGGCACAGTGACTCTTTAAGCAAGGGTAGGTGGCCCACCTGGGCTGGAGAAAGAATGGAAGTTGAAGGTCAGACCTCATCAGACCCAGCTGAGAAAGACCTGACTGTTCCTCAGGCCCAGACTTGAACAGTAGATGCCAGGTGGTGGCTCCAGTGACCAGGAATAGGAGAGGGAAGGTAGGCAATGGTGTGTATGTAGCCAGGGCCCCAGCATCATTCATTGAGCTGCTATCTTGGACAACAGCCAGGGCAGTGGAGGAAGTTTAAAATGCTCAGCCTTCTCCTCGAAAAGCCTGAGTTACCCAAAGATGCTATGTATTTAATGGAGTTTACCAACTGGATTATATTTGTGTTTTCCTCTATTGGTAGTGTAGGGACCCACAAGGAATATCAAGAATTATAGAACATAAATAAGCCAAGGGGTTTCTGTGCACAACTGTGTGCAGGATGATAAAATTTGCAAGGCTGCCATACAGGTCTGGCCCACACACCCCGGGACCTATGAATGTAATTTACATAACTTTTTTTAGAGCTTCAAGAATTTCTAAGTTGAGGGCCGGCCCCGTGGCTTAGCGGTTGAGTGCGTGCTCTCCGCTGCCGGCGGCCCGGGTTCGGATCCC